GACTTCCTGATTCTGTGGAAGTCTTCTGTTGTTCAGCAAAAGTATTTGGGCGTAATGTTGTATGATGCATACCCTTGCATTTAAAACACTTCTTCAGTGAGCATTTTCCTCCCTTGTGTTCACCTAAACACTTGATGCATCTTTTCAGCTGATGAACACGTTGTTTACGTGCCTCCATTGATGTGTATTGACTACAATACTGTGCCCAGTGTGTTCCATCACAAAGTACACATTTTGGAGTACGTTTATGTGTGACAGTCTGTTTACTGTCTGTTGTATTCACAGCTTGATAAATGCCTATATAGGATTTCCCATTCTGTGTTTTAGTGGGAGTAGGTATACTCTTGATATACTGAGTTGAAGGTTTGTTATCCACTGGATTTGTGGATTTTTCATCTTGTCTCGTTGCTTGCATGCATGAAACTATTGTTTGTAAACCATTGCTAATTTCTTCACAAGTGAAAAAGCGTTTATTGAACATAATATTTAATCGTTCAATAGTTTGTGGTGACAACTTATCTTGTACAATACCACTGATAAACCAATTACATTGCCTTAGGTCATATTTAGCACCTAGAGATCTGAGACTATTGTCTAATGTAATTCTAAATGACTGTAAGTCTGAAAAACAATGTTTGGGTGGCTTCAAGCTTGATATTAAGACTGCATGTCTAACTCTGGCCTTGTCAGCATCAAAGTAATTGTCTGCTAAGACACGTAAGGCTATTTGATAATTGCCTTTAACCACCGGAAATGACTTAATCAGTTCATAGGGTTCTCCCTTCACAAGACATTTAAGATAATTGAACTTAGCAATCTCATCTATGTCAGTTCGTGAATTTACTATGGATTGAAAACCAATAATGAATTCTTCATAATTATGACCTTGGAAAATAGGTAATGACAACGTAAGTAAACTTGGTAATGGTACACTTGTTGCTGTTACAGGTGTGACAGGTGTTTGACCACTAGTTACAGTAGGTCTCTGTGACAGAGTTTTGCAGCAGATAGCCTGTACTCCTGTCCACCTTAATTGTTGATTACTAAAAGTATCCAAAACATTTTTAATTTCATCCTCAGTTGGATCTGATTCAAGAAAATTCTTTTCATAATGTCTATAGTCTGAATTAATTATTTTCAGACGTTGTGTAAGTAGTAATTCAAATTTGACCTCAAGATTATCAAAATCTATGTTTGTATCTTGAGTTAATCCTATACAGACTGAAATTAGATTTTCTAATTGTGTAATCTTAGTCTGTAAAGACTGAAACTGAGTTTTCAAACAAGCCATTTTAATGGTATACTGAAAATTCTAGCACCACACTTAGAGTGTTTAAAAAACACTGTACTGCTATAAACAGCTGAGTTTTTGTTATGCTTAAGTCCATGAATGGTACAGAGTACATATGGCTGGTGTTTATGGCTTGAGTTTGCTGTGTCAGCCTGACCACGATGATTAATCGTAAATAACGTTATACACTTCATTCACTATACACTATAAATGTCACTGTATAACTGTAAATCACACGTGAATATTACTTACACATATATAAATGTCACTGTTAATATATATTTGAAAGCTTTCACTTTTATATATAGTTACTTTAATATAATAGGTATATCTATAAGAAACAAACTTTAACACAATCTTGTCTCTTAATTTCTGTCTATAAACATTATAAACACTATGTGTATATACACTCAGACAAACTGAACATCAGTTGGGTTGTTGTTGTCTTAGTCAGCACTTCTTCGAGCTTGGAGCAGTGGATGCAGGGTGCCATTCCCCGTTTCCTTGTTGGGTGAGTCACCCAGCTCCCGTTTTCTTTGGGTGAACGCTGGGTGAGCGCCCGTTTTCTTTTGGCTGCCCATTCTCTGTGATTGGGTCTGGAGGGACTCATTTATACTGATTTATATTGTAAAACACTAGTTTTACAGCTTTTTTCGAAGGACCTTGGCTCGTAGGTCATCTGTACACTGTAGTACAACATATTTGGACCACAGTGTGGCCTTTATCCGATTCGAGCACGACCAAAATGTTGAGAAATGGGATTACCAGTTAAGTTTAATTTTAAATTTAAATATAGGGAACACTTAGCTGATAAAAGACTGCAAATCGTCTACACAGCTGCCCCTGCAGACGAGGTCTTGAATTGTTGTCATGATCATCTCTCAACGAGCTGTAATGAGATCATATTATGTAAACAATAAATTACCCCTAGGGGGTGTTATGTCAGCATATTTCATTCACTGATGGCTGACAAACTTACTTGTGTGGACTCAAAAGTCCGCACCTAACTGCCGACTATAGATTGATTACAAACTCCTTGCAACTCAAGAACTGCGCAGTCCCCCGTACTACAAGAATTTCGTAACCTACCTTGCTCTTGTAGCATGAGCTATGGTGTTCTTCACACCTTCGACAGATATCGGTGACTTGATAGAAGCTGAAGTGTCCTTGGATGTCCACGTCTTCCATAGTCTAGGAATATGCACACTGGTACACTATGTTCCACAAGATTTGTCTTTATTGTTCACAATCTTATCACTAAAGAAGCTGATCACACTTCTCTTAAGTGTTTATTGTGTTTTATGAGACACTTTGTTCACACTAACGCATAGATCGTTCTTTGTTGGTTATCCTGGCATCAGTGTCACTCTCAGTAGAGCCAAAAGTAATCTGAAGACGCCACAGCACCCCACGCTGTTACTCCCCTAGCACAAAGGAAAAGCTGACCTAGTACTTTTACTTCCTTGCCACTTCCTCGATGAAGCAAAGCAGAATGTTTGATTCTTGCTGTCTTTAGCATAGACAACAATGTCCACTATCTTTACTATGGTAATAAAGTGGGAACAGGATTTTCCTTAATTGTCCTGCTAAGGTAAGAGATGTACTGTCTCTTATTAAAATACACTCTGCAGCACTGGACCGCACGGAGCGGCGGTCGCTTGACCACAGGTCGTATACTGGTACTGCATCTGGGATCAATTACTCGCTGTAGCAGTAAACAAGATATTTGCCCCTTCTGAGATGGCTGGGCCCCTCAGGGCTGAAAGGGGCTGAAAGGGCTGAAAGGGGCTGATACCCCTTCCTGGAGAAAATTTCTCCACACCAGGGGACAAGATTAACCTGTGGCCCGAAATACTCTGCAGTTTGTTAATAAAGCCAAGTAGGTCTGTATGTGTTGTATAATGTATTTGTAGAAATATATATTATTATTAAGGCTGCAACTTTCTTGTACTCTCTTTGTTAAGGATATATTTACTACAGTAGCAGAAATTAAAGTTCAGTGTATATGCAGTGAGATATACATTCACATACCTTTTGATATACTAATACTAAGTAAAACATTACCCACAATCTGCGGAAATAGACAGGTATACAACTTTCTGTTAGATGTTTCACCTCCAGTGGTAGAAATATTTTACAAAAGAATTAATTATTATGTATATTTGTTTCCCCGCCTCCTGGTGTACCTTCAGTGTCAGCTGAACAAGTAGCTTTCTGAAGACTGAGATATTTGTGCAAAACTTGAGAATCTTTATTACTAAAACGTTTCGCCGGTCAGTACCTTCTTCAGTTTGTTACAGAGAAGAAGGGTGGAAGACGAGGAGAAATTTGAAGTAATCAGTCCCTCAGCCTCGATCTTAATATGCTGAAAACATTCGACTCCAGGTTGGGGGAAATGATTTACCTGAAACTCCTCATCTTCCACGATCTTCTCTGTAATGGACTGAAGAAGTCATGGCTGGCGAAACGTTTCGGGTAATAAAGATTCCCAAATGTTGCACAAGTGTCTTATTTTTCAAAATTGTCGGTTGCTAAACCTTTTGATCAATTATCTTTTTGCTATATCACTAGGGAATATTTTCTCTCAGACACCTATCATGTTATCAGTCATGAAGGTATATTCCTAAGTTATTTATTATTATTATCACACTGGCCGATTCCCACCAAGGCGGGTGGCCCGAAAAAGAAAAACTTTCACCATCATTCACTCCATCACTGTCTTGCCAGAAGGGTGCTTTACACTACAGTTTTTAAACTGCACATTAACATCCCTCCTTCAGAGTGCAGGCACTGTACTTCCCATCTCCAGGATCAAGTCGGCCTGCCCGGGTTTTCCCCCAATCCCTTCATAAATGTACTTTGCTCCACTCCAACAGCACGTCAAGTATTAAAAACCATTTGTCTCCATTCACTCCTATCAAACACGCTCATGCATGCCTCCTGGAAGTCCAAGCCCCTCGCACACAAAACCTCCTTTACCCCCTCCCTCCAACCTTTCCTAGGCCGACCCCTACCCCGCCTTCCTTCCACTACAGACTCATACACTCTTGAAGTCCTAAGTATGATTTATATTTAACCCTTCAATGGGGATTTCTTGTTACTGGGAGATAGGACAGGTTTTTTTTTTAATTTCTATTCAGATGACGTATTGGTTTTTCTGAGGTGTCTGTGTAATACACTAGTAATTCCCCCACACACTTGATAATCTGGAATGGCGCGCTGCTTGCAGCCAAAGGAAAAGACACTCAAAAAGGAATATTCATTGAGTCTTCACTTAGCAGTGTCGCCGACAGTTTCCACCAGAATAACTGTTTCTGCAACACAGCTGAACCTCTTGATACAAAATTACTTGGAAGCAGAGGAATGAATGTGTCTTGACTAGTACTCCACTAGTGCTTCACCTCACCGCTGCTCACTGTGTCTTAGCTGACACGTTATTACCCTCACCTGCCATATGACACTCTTCCTACACGTCTTTTAGCTTAGAGTAAGCTAAAACACCACTCTTTAGCTTCCTCTGTATTTAGAGTGTACAACGCGTTCTTTAATAAATGTCCTGAACTGTATATAAATATCTTTATCCACGGAATCTCCGAAAGAAGTCTAAAGCCATTCATTATTGATGGTGAAGGATGCTTATTCCTATTTTTAATGTGAATACAATAAAAGCTCTTGACTAAGTAAAACTAATGATTGACCGTACACGTACCTTTAGTGACTGAAGGACCCAGGTTCTATTTTCAACATCCCAGAAGATATCAGAGTGATAGAATCCTTTTAGAGAGATGCGGCCTCCTCTTTCATTCCCAGACACATACTGAATATCGAAAGGTGAGTCTTTGCACACAGCTGGGCCCTTTAGGTACATAACCTGATTGTTCTCCATCTCACACACAGCACAGAAAGCATAGGTCTCAAGGCAGGCAATATCTGACCATTCTCCCTGAAAGTAACCATATAACATCACCAGGCAGTTCTCGACAGTGCCACCATTAGGTCCCTTGCCACGCCAGACACCTTGCTTGGGTATGGGTTCTCCAGAGCCCCAGTAAACCCATTTATTTTCAATCTTATTATCATTGGCCCCTAGCCACATATACGATGCCCCAAGCTGTCCTGAGCAATTCTCTGCCCACTTCTGAGTTGACAGGTATATAAGGGAGTTCTCCTCTTCGTTCTGGGGCACTGCCCAATTCCCCAACAATCTGTAAAGAAAAATAATTTTTTGTATAGCTTGCTTTATTTTTCGATATTTAAAAACCCTTTTCTTGTCCCCAGGGAGCCTCTACATGGGTATGTCTAAAAAAAATACTCTCGGGGATGATCTGAGGGCAAATACGTAAGGCTTTCTCTGGGTAATTGGGGGTTGACTATATAAGCCCCCCCTTGGGTCCCCACAAAAACATATTGCAGTTGCATATTAATTAAACAGTTACAAAAGGGTTTTTGAAGAAAACCACTTTTATCCAAGATTTGGTCCGGTATCATCCAGCATGTACTGATTTTGTGAGACTCACTATGGTGCTGAGCTGATTTTTATGGCAGTGATACATGGCAGAAATAACGACAATAATTTAAATAAAAATAATAAAAATAATAAATAATCTCGAGTCCTTAAACAAGATGACCCCCCCAGGTTCGGGTTGTAATCTGTTTTTCCATTTACTTTTTAATTTCATTCTGCAATCCCGTCATCAATGCTTCGTTAAAGCCCATAAAGCGGACAATGTTTGGTTTTTACACTTTTTTCGACTAAATTAATGTGTCGTATTTTTCGTACTTGTAGTTTTTAAAGATTATTTTATTATTAATTACTCGTCAACAACTGAAAATTTATTTGTCATATTTCGTCCTTTTTTTTGAAAGTTTGGGTGAAATTTTCCTTTTCTCACGGGTACTGTGCTTGATCAGGGTGGGGGTAATCGGGTTTAACCCCTTGGCGAGGCGGACGATCGTTTTAAATTACTTTATTTGCTGCCCCCTTTTACCTAGCAAAAACAGGTTTTCTTTTTGGGGTTAGTCTCCTTACATCTTTTTAACCCGTTCACCTAAATGTGAACAGGGGACCTGTGTATTAGTCTCTTACCTCTGACGTCCCTATTTACCCAAAAGTATCAGGCGTTAGCCCATTGTTCATGCCAGGCTTGAAAAGAACTGATCTAGGTTAGAGCACTTTGCTGCAAAATTAAAATAAATCAAAATTTTCCCCACCTGACAAAGATGAGAGCCCGCTCGGACATGCGGTCGGGGAAAAAGACAAACACGGTTGCTTAGGGGGCAAAAAGATTCTTTCCCCGGAGGAGCAGAAGCGTGCCTCTCTGCCCGTTGCCACTCTTGTAAAAGACCACTTTTAAAAGTTGCGTCCCCCAACTTCCCCTTCCACTTAGAAACCCGACATATCAAATTTTTTTGGGGGACATAATAAATTTTAAATTTGTTTTCACCCCAGAGATAGAAATCCCAAAAGGGGTGGATCGGGCTCCTCACCCGGCCCTCTTCATCCCTCGATGTTCTTCCCAAAGATCCGTGGTTCCAACTTACAGGAGTTCCTGTATTATATTACATTCAGAATCGTGTTTAACAATCATGGTCCTTGTGATGCATCCGGCTGAGAATGATAACCTACACTTATTATAAACAGTGAAGTTACCACAGAATGCTTTTAGTGTGAAGAATTGGACACATGTGCAACATCTGGGAATCGTTATTGCAGACGTTTCGCCATCCAGTGGCTTTATCAATACAAATTCAAGAACATAATTTGAAAACAGTATAACTATATACAAAAGATGAGGTAATCAGTCCCTCAGCCTTGGAGTTGGTGAAGAGCATCGTAGTATTGAAGAGTCTAAAGCACAGGCTTGATGACTGGCGCTTATATACCGGAGAAACGTCTACAATAAATATACCCAGATGTTACACAGATGTTTAATTCTTCATCTTGTCGGTATTATATACCATAACTGTGTACGTTCCTAGTATAAACATGTAAGTTGTAACAAGTGACTGCAAAACAATATTCTCTGCCTAGAAAAAAATATTACTGATAGACGGTATATATGGTAAACAATTACGCAAGGAAACATTAAAATAGACAGTTATACCAGGGAAACATAAAATAAATACGTTGATAAACATTGTCAGCAAAAATAAGGAAGATTTCTTCTTCTGCTTTTGTTTGGATGCTTTTGTTTGTTTTACCTAACCCAATAAAAAGATAAACATCACATCCTACGATGTAATATGTACCCAAGTAGGTCTTCGGACGTGACTGGTCCATCCTGAATAAGCAAGTAGAAATGTAACGGTCATGTTGCGATAGTCTAGGTTGGAACCAGTGTAAATATGTTGTTTTTACCCAAGGTTTACTGTATCTACCGGTAATGCCGGAAACAGACTGTATTTTGTACCCATCCCCCATGGGTAGTAAGTCACCCCATACCCATTCCTGTGGGTGGTAGTCATCTTCATACCCATCATGTGGGTGGTTAGATCACCCATACCCATCCTGTGGGGTGGCAGTACTCACCATCCTTCCTGTGGGTTGGTAGTCATCCCATACCCATCCTGTTGGGTGTAGTCTACCCCATACCCATCTTGTGGGGTGGTAGTAAACCCCCACAAGATGGGTATGGGTTACAACCAGAAAAAAAAACATAAATATATGATTAAAAGACAATAAAAAACAATCTGTCAACTAACCGAAATGAGGCAACAGGTCGAGTGGCCGTGAGTGTTAGGTCTCACTCGCACACGGGTATAACATTTGCCCATAATGTCTGTGGTTAAAAGGACGGACTGAAGTTAGGGAGAGGACGGCTTCAGACTGTGGTTTTAGCTCGATAGACACCGGTGGTCTTGTGGGCTAAAGCTCCGCTCACACACGGAGGGCCGGGTTCGATTACGGCGAGTGGAAAATTTGAACGTTTCCTTAACCTGTTTGTCTGTTCACTAGCAGCAATTGGTACCTGGGTGTTAGTCGACTGGTGTGGGTTCGCATCCTGGGGGACAAGATTAAGGACCCCAATGGAAATAAGTTAGACAGTCCTCGATGAGCTCTGACTTTCTTGGGTTATCCTGGGTGGTAACACCTCCGGGGTTAAAAATCCGAACGAAATCTTATCTGATCTTATCTTATCGAACCAAATTTGGAAATCGGTTTCTTTTACGTTAACTTGCGAATGTTTCTATCGATAAAAATTGAGTTTGAGAGTATCTACGAAAGCATAGAATATTTAAATTAACTGTGAAGGTGCAAATTTGCCGTTGTATGGAAAACATCAAAAATTTGCTAACTCTCTAAGCAAATCGGGATATTGGTTTCCATGTAATGGCTTGAGAATACCTTTTCATATCGGCTTCAAACTTTCAATCCTTGTGTATTATCAAAGATAATGTATGTTAAATTTTATCGGTGATTAATACGAGGCCATTTTTATTTGTAAAAAAAATAATCGTTTACTACGTTCTCTGGCATGGAACCTAAAGTCTATAAACCCCCCCCGTAACATCCCAATCCCCCCAACCGTCCCAACTATATCCATATTTTTCATTCCATTTCTCTTACCTAGTACTGAGATGCTAATTTTATTCCTGTACTCCTCAATAAATTCGGAAAATTGACCTTTATTCAAACATTTAAACAGAATTTTTATATTGCTATATTCTAGCATATCACTGTATGAATTATGACTCATGAAATCGTAATGAAACGATTGCAGACAAACCATTACCACTATCATCTCCATTCAAAAGCTGGTGAAATTTGAGAATCTCAGAGGTGTACAGTGATCCTTTACTGCACGTATAAGTTCTGTCAAGCACCTTAACTACTGGGAACGCTTGGAAGCACTTGACTTGTACTCGTTGGAACGCAGGCGAGAAATATATCTCATAATCTACACTTGGAAAATCCTGGAAGGAAAGGTTCCGAATTGCACACAGAAATCACTCCTACGAAAGTAAAAGACTTGGGCAGGCGATGCCAAAATACCCCAGTTTAAAAGTAGGGGCGCCATTGGTACACTAAGGAAAACACCATAAGTGTACGGGGCAAAAGGACTGTTCAACAGCATCCCATCAAGCATTAGGGGAATTACAATAAACCCCTGGCTGCCTTCAAGAGAGAGCTGGACAGATACCTAAGTCCGGGTGCGGATCGCAGGGCTGTGGCCCGTACGTTAGAAAGCATGCGGCCCTGGCACTGAAGTACAGCCTGGTTGATTCAGGCCCTGATTCACCGGGTGAGGCCTGGTCATGGGCGGGCTGCGGGGGCGTTTGATCCCCGGAATAACCTCCAGGTAATCCGGTGATGAAGGCTTATCAGCCCTGTAACAACTTCAGTCAGTATTACTCAGGCTTGGCTCCATCCTCAGGAAATTACTGGATGAAAAAGAAATAATAAACAGACAAATAAAACAGTTTATTATATAGAAAAATATAAAACACTTTAAATATGATGAAATATTAAATCCTACATTAAGAAATGAAAAATGAAAAAACCATATAAATGATAATGAATTCAACGAAATATATATAGGGGTGTCTGGTGTTGGTGACCATGAGTGTTGTTGGGGAAATCGTTGCAGTTGCTGATGTTGGGGTGGGGGGGGGTCGCAGGTGTTGGGTTAACACAACCACTGGTTCGGTCTTCACAGTATAGTCTTGAGTATTCTATTCCCGATGAAAGGAAAGCAGGTTCTTACCGACTGCAAGATGGGGGTTACGTCTGCAATTTCATACAGGTGCTAAGTAATTAAATCCAAAAAGGGAAAGTCTCAGGACGAAATTTAGTCCATCTCCATCAGTTTGTTCGTGATTGGCAGGTGACCCTCTCTGTCATCCAAGAGTTAGTGCTGGAGCTGTGAGTCTGTGATTACGGTTTGGACCGGGCCACCACATGTCACCTTTCGGGGTGGGGGCGAAGAAGGAGGGGAAGGATAGAGGATCTAACGACCCTACCTTACCAAGACAGCCGGGCATCAAAACTATCACTTTCGGGGCGGGGGTGGGGGATAAAAGGCTTGTGGACTAGTGGGGGCATTGACTTACCCTACCTTAACAAGTAGCCAGCAATGAAACTATCATTTTTGGGGAGGGGAAAAAAAGGCGGGAGATTAGGTGGGTGCCCTTGATTACACTACCTTAACAAGTAGCAGCAATGAAACTATTGCTTTTACTATATACTCCCTCTCTACTCCTATTTATTGAACTATTTCCCTCACCACTCCCCCATATACCAAGACTTATAGTCAAGGAGTATAGAAGAATACGTGAGGAAAAAATTCTAACATATGGAAGTCGTGTTAGGCAAGAAATCTTCTACTGACTGTCACGGCTTAACCAGTCAGAGGAAATACTTGGATGAACATTGATTTCAACAACCTATTAGAACTTAAATTGCCTGGAGGTCCAATGTTCCACTCAAGAGGCGAAAAAACTGTTGGTTCACTTAAAGTTTCTAGGTATATCAAAAGGTTTGTGGTACGTTTCTAAAAATGAATTCTTTTCCCAGCAAATAAAATTTAGTTTGGAGATTCCCACAAAAAGGGCAAACATTCCTCTTTTCTATGGTGGAGTATTCTCGTTTATGCGGGAAGGAGTTTCTGGCCTTAGGAAGCATACAGGGGAAGGGAGAGAGTACCATCATGGTATTGTAGTAAACACTGCACCTAAAGCCAGTATTGGAGGCATCAGTTCTTAAACAAAATGTTTTATAATTATATGGATTTATGTATAGGGTTTTTTCGAAAAGATATTCTATATCATTTTAAACATTTTCCCGAGTACGTCGGAAAAGTTCAAAAGGTTCCTTCACAGACTTTTAAGGAAGTCGGATAGATGCTGTAAAGATCAGTAAGGTTCAGGATAAACCGTGCATCAAAAATTTTACAAGAACCAAGAAAAGATCGCATGAGCTTTCTTGGTTTTGGGGAATTAAATCTATAATAGCTTTTGGATCTTACTGGGGAGAGGCTGCAGAGAGGTTATTAGAAAGTATATCAGTCCAGATATCTAATCTTGTTATACCCGAAGGAAGCATTTCTTCGGCTTGCAGTGAGGGCCATGTGAGCGTAACCTACGCAAAATCTGATGTTAATGTTTGTGGATTATGTTCGCCCCCACGTGGATGTCATTACGTAAATGTTATCAAACTAAACTGAAACATTTCGGGCTTATTACCGAGACCTTTCTAATCAGTCTGCATTAGGTTAGCACCCAGGCAGTTAATCAACCGAAAGGGCATAGCTTCTATATTGCATCAGTCCTTGGTGTGTAGGAAAAGCGGTGTACTGCTTAGAAGAAGGATCTAACATTACTTGATGATATGCCTGCGCAATATCAATCTCTGAAAAGAAGGAAGAGTCATAAAATTTGTGTAGATCGCTATCTATTAAGGGCATAGGCTCAGTATCCCACCGAGTTATAGCATTAAGGCCTCTGAAGTCAATAGCAAGTCTATATGAATTATCCTCCTTCTTAACCATGACTACTGGTGAACAATATGAAGATACTGAAGGTTAAGTGATCTTTAGTTTTAATAATTTGT